ATATTGATCATACACCTATTACATTATCTTATCGTTTAACAAATTCTTTAATACCATCATTACCAAATGGTGCTGAACAAATTCTATCAAATATTCAATCATATTCACTTGAAGAAATTCTTATTATTGGAAATTATCAAGATCAAATTAAATTTAGTGAATGTATAGAAATTCTTCTATGATCTTTTTTTTGTCTTATATAACAGAAAAATGTTTTTTATTCTAGTAACACTTGATATGTATCGAATGTTACAAGCAGTTGAAAGACAACCAATTGAATCGATATCGTCGTTAGATGACAGAACAACATCTCAATCACCAGCTACTCATAGAAAAGAAATCTTGGTAAGAAAATTTATATTCTACTCTCAGCATATTAGCGGATGCTCTGGAAAAATATTGTAACACGATATTTTTTTACCCCGAAGTTTTTCCAATAGTAAATCTTCCAATCATAATGATATCATGATCATTTCACCAGAAATGTGTGTTTATCTTTCCAGATACATTCTTTGCAAGAAATATTACTCTCTCTCATATAGCTCGGAACAACATATAATTCTTTAGACATCTGATGTCGTAAGAAAAAAATTAATATTTCTGATCTGTAACTTGTAGGATATCTTAATGACCATGTGATCTGTTGCCGGAAGTCATTTCAGATCACAATACATTGCTATGGCTTTTTTTTTGTATTATAAATATTCTATAGTAAACTCGATAAAATCTAATGCTACAAAGCCCTTCAGCGTTTTCATTCATAGTATAAGTCTTAATCATATTCTCAAACAGAAGATGTCAGTTGAAGAGAACATTGATTAATTTTTTTTTTCAAATCATTCGTTCAATCTCACGAGATTAAAAATCACTTCCATCATCTGTCACAATCGATAATATATTAATTTAGAATTTATACAATGATGAATGTTCAAATCGTTCAAATCCTCATAAATATCTTCTTTATAAACCAACATTCAGTCAAATTTATGCTTTTACTGCATCTGCATTCAAAGAATTACCTACAAATGGAGCTCTTCTTCTTTACATTTCTGCGGATGGTTATGATACTCATATAAAAAATAAAACTGATCAATCCTATGATTTTGGTGGTGTGAAAACAAATAATCGACGTGATGATACGAA